AATCCCAGCGTTCCAGGGGCAAGGTAGGTGGATCCCTGAGTTCAAGGCCAGCCTGGTTTCAGGACAGCCAGAGCTACAATGAGAAATCCTGTCTCAAAAAACCAAAAAACAACAAAAAGAATTTAAGGATGTACCAGGAGTGATGACACAAGCTTTGAATCCCAGCCTGGTCTACACAATGAGACCTTAACATAGAAAACAAAAAAGAGCCAGGTAAGCTGGTACAGGCCTTTAATCCTAGTATGTAGGAAGCAGATCTCTGTAAGTTCAAGGCCAGCCTGGTCTACATAGTGAGTTCTAGGACAGCCAGGGCTATGTAGAAAGACCCTGTCTCAAAGATCCAAAATGCGAAACCAAAAAGAAAAGAAAAAAGAAAAAGAAAAAAAAAAAAGAAGCCTAAATTGAAGTATAAGGAAGTTAAAATCAGAATACTTAAAAACAAACTAGAAAACATCTACAACAAAAGACAAGAAAACCAAAATAAACATCTTTAACATCAGCACATCCAACAAATAATAAGCAACAAAAATTTCATAAAAGCAAATACTCCCATAGAAAGGTAGTTATATAATACCAAGTGGGTCCACTAGTGCAAAAAGAAAATTAAATAGACAAAAAAAAAATTGAAATAACCTACAATGTATTGTAATTTTAAAAACACTAGGTGTGGGTATGGCCCAATGATAGATTATTCTTCTTGCTTGGATAAGAACCTGGATTTGATCCCCAGAAATGGGGAAAAAAGAAAAAAGAAGCTAATAGAACCTCAAATTAGCAGAAGTCATTCTTAATCCCACACATTGCAGATGAAAGAGTGACTCGGCTCAATGACGGTAGGTTGCAGACCCAGAGAGGCCATGTTCTGCAGGGAAAGACTTAGCAATCTTCTTGGTAGTCATTCACTAATACCCACCAACAACCTTCAAAAATAAATGAGCTTTGATTTCAAACAGCCAGTAGTTGTGTTCAAGTGTAGGCAATGGTTTCCTGGAGTCCCCAAGTCCCTCTCAGGTGTCTAGAAGGTCAAAACTGTTTTGTTTTGTTTTGTTTTGTTTTGTTTTGTTTTTTTTTTACAAAATATTACTTCCCCTTCTATTCTGTTGACATTTGTGCCTATTGTATACTACAGTGGGTAAACTTGTAATCCCTTTTTGTATGTGTTTTTAATAGGAATAGAATGATATCACTTTCCCTTCTCCAACCCCTTCCACATACCTTCCTTTGGACTCCTCCCATGCCCAGTAACCCTAAAGTTGATAGCTTTTTAACTTCCAAGACTTAACAGACTGAGGCAAAGGTACTACAGCCATATTCAAACTCACATACACAACACAGCTTAAAAAAATAAAAAGTAGTTGGGCAGTGGTGGAGTATGCCTTTTATCTGAGCACTTGGGAGGCAGAGGAAGGTGGATCTCTGTGAGTTCGAGGCCAGCCTGGTCCACAGAGTGAGTTCCAGGACAGCCAAGGCTGCCCAGAGAAACTTTGTCTCAAATAAACAAATAAATAAATAAATAAACAAACAAACAAATAAATAGAATACTTCATTTCAGAATATTCACTAATTAATATTAATTGTCATCCTTTCAAAATTCTACGTGCTGAATTTAGAAGTA